TCCCATAATGGGTTTTTGTCGTCATGCTGTTTTCTGTTCTGAATATGCTTTGCCTAGCAGAATTTTGGACTTGCCAGGTGATACAAAAAGGCGATCAGCTCTTCTTGCAGTATATTCCACTCAAAGTTTATATACATACATTAAAGTACTGAAAGCACATTTTTAAATATTTGAATGTGATTGGCAACAGTAGCATGTACATTTGTACCATGTACAATTTTGAGATGAGCTGCTTTCACACTACTTGTCGAAATAACGAGCATGGAACACTGTAGAATCATCTAATTGCTGTCTATAAGGCAATGATAAACACCAAGTACCTACCCACTAATCAATAAAAATGAACATACATTTATGGCTCCAAAATTATTTGTTTACCAATTACGGTATTATTAAATAATTTCTAAGATTGAAAAGCGTCTTACCACAAGGTCCCCGGAATTTCAATTTAACATCAATTTTTTTCTGGCATGTCATCTTTCGAAGTTCACACTCACTAGTGTAATCATTTCCATCATCACCACACACCGGTGAACCTGACCCATCACACGTACTCGGGCAGACACAACGCGCTGAATTTCCATCCGTTGATACGATACACACGGCGCCAAAATTACACTCCTTTGTGGCACATGGATTACTAGACCCTGGATAAAATAAGTAAAAATCAAGAAAATGGTAACACACCGCAATGATATGTTTGAATGTAAAAATATGCTAATTATGCTAATAAAGTTCATAACAACATCCATACAAAGTCAGGAATATTTTTAAACAAGGGAACAGGGCACAGCGCCCTCATGCCATGGCCATGCGCCCCCTTACCCTGGGTAGCAGATCTCTGGCAACCATAAAATTCTGATTGACCAGGGATCACATGTAGTCACAGTCTTCAACTGTGACCTGGCTGATAGTAATTTTGGCACCAAGGAAGCCATAGAATGTTCCATTTTAACTTAGAATTATCAAAAACTCCACAAACTGGTAGGGATAACCCTATCTCCCCCACTTGGTGGCGGCGCTGAATTGCAGTGCTCCCTCTTGTAGTTTTTTTCTAGAAAAACCAAGGCAAAGTGTATATTCAAAAAATACATCCATTCACGTTAGTGATATTGGGCAAATAGCATATTTTGTACATAAAAATACATGCATTGCTTTGATGACATCATATTTTTTATTTTGCAAAATTATTTACCACAAGCATGATGTGCATGCTTCAATATAATGATGAGAATTACACATTGATACTTGGCTATATAAATAATATTATACAAGCATAATTTTCATATTTGGTTTGCCATATGCAAATGATTTCCATATTTGGTTTACCATATGCAAATGATTTCCATATTTGGTTTGTCATATGCAAATTATTTCCATATTTGGTTTGCCATATGCAAATGATTTCCATATTTGGTTTGTCATATGCAAATTATTTCCATATTTTGTTTGCCATATGCAAAAGAATTCTTTATTTGGTGTGTTATCAGACTCCTAACCTAATATGGTTTCTGAAAAATCCAGACTTTTTTGAAAATAAACATTTTAAGCAAATTAGTAATGTGCAATGCTGATAGTGCAGTCCACACTATCAGCATTTTCTTGTAGATTTGGATTTTGTGAATGTATTGAAAAGAAAGTTTACTATTAACTTCTGTTCCATTCCTTTCCTTTTTCCAAAATCTCCCACTTAACTATTTTAGTTTAATGAGAATTTTAAGTTGTTTTTGTTTTTTGTAACACAGTTATGTAAATTATTCCTTTAAGTTGTAATTGCACACATGCTCAGCAACCTCAGCAAATTATGCAAGTAAAATGTCACTTAACTTTATGCTAATATCATACATTAACAAAATTAATATTTTTTTAACCTGTCTCAGAGAAAAAAATAGTTTAATGCAAAATAAACCTAGTGTATGATTCGTATGATACTTACCACAAGGCCCTTGCGTTTCCATGGTTATTCTTTTCTTTTGTGAACATGATGCTACTCTAAGATGACACTCGCTTATATACGTGACACTGTCACTTCCACAGACTGGTGCAAAGACGTCCGTGCAGACTTCCGGACATATGCATATTCCCTGGCCTTTTTCATCTACCTGACACATAGCCCCAAAACTGCATAATTTTCTGGCACATGGACCTAGAACAGAATTGAAATTAGTTAAACATCAAAGCATGCAATACCAAGTGAATCTTTCTCAGACGTTGACATTGATGGTAGTACTGCTACCCTAAGCTGCTAAAAATTGGATCACAGCCGAATCCACGCAAATGTTTCGTGATGTTCGACTGTTTGCAAACTTTTTCTGACCCGGATATCTTGCGAATACGATAAGTAATGCATTTGGTATACAGCACATACTTCATACGTCAAATGCTAAAAACAAACTATATCTGATAATACAGATACATGTACATGTACACATATATCAACAGAATTAACAATCAGTATTCTATGCTGACACTCAGAAAATGAAAATGATTCCAAAATTGAATAGAAACAAACAGCGAGTACTCAAGTCCCGTGACAGAGTTTAACTTTATTAGTTTGGAAACAATTACAGTCTATATAGATAGACTACAGTGAATGTTTGTGAAGCATGTGACAAAGCCCTCACTTTGGCGACATCCATACTTATGGTGGTTCCCACTATTACTCAAGAGTTAAAACAAAATAATAACTGAATACTGTGAATCACCTTAATTTCATGATTTCGATTTTTTTTCTATCGATAAAAATTAAAGGTTTACAGTCTTTGTGATAAGGTATGAAAAGGTGACAGGCTTCTTGTATCCATGGAAACCCAGGTAGTATAATCCCCCACCCAATTTACTCATGTACTTTGAGTTGAAAAAAAATAAGTCATACATTGTATCTCAAAAAGTCAAAAGTTTTTATAAATTGGAAGATTACATTTTATAAGGTGGTGATGTGAAGACTTAATACTAAATAAAAGTAAAAATATTGCAATTTTCTTTATTTTCATATTTTATTGTATGCATGTTTTGTCTGTTTTAGGACATTTTACTATGGTTTCCTATGACAACGATAGACTTGTATTTCAATATCTAGAAATTATGCTTGGTGACATATGATGAAAAACAAAATGTATTGTTTTGATGTCTAGAAGTATTAAAAAAATGGTTATAATTTGAATGGTTTTTTGATAAGGAAATGTAGTTTATTCTTGTCTATTAAAACCGCTGTTAAAATCGCATAATACATGTATCTAACAGTTTTTCTCAACAACAAAGAAATTCCCATACTGTTCATTAACACTAAACCAAATAATTGTAGAAAAATTTTTACACAAATTATTGCTACTGTCATATGCGCTAAAATATGCAGACTTTTAAAAAATTCACGAGTAGCATTCTACCTTAAGGAAAGATAGCAATTTTCACCCGCTAGCACTATTCAGACTAAAGTGAATGGCTAGGAGTGTACCAATTAAAGTGCTGCCTGTGCTTATTAGATTAAGATTCTGAAAGAAACAGGAGTACATGACTGATCACCAATACCAGTACTTGTTGACAGGAGATTTAGTGTAGTGATACAAGATCCATTTAGGTAGTGATACAAGATTTGGCGTAGTGATATAAAATATAGTGTGGGTGATACATGATGTAAAATGGTGATACAACACAAGGTACATGGAGGTTCTATTTCAAACAACCCATTTTTGAGAACTTGCATAATAAACAATTCATACTTATAAATAACAACAATTAATGATAATAATACTGGAAATCAACTCAATTACAATGAACATTGATAAAATAAGCATCTTTAATACAACCTTTGGCACGAACAAAATCTGTATTTAAATGAAGACTTTAATGACAGCATTTAGTCAGAAAGAAGAAAAAACAAAAAAACTTCTCAATTTAAAGGTTCCTGGCCTACAAGTAATTGAAAAAGGAAACAAAGTTCAGTTGTACATAATAGAAAATTTAACAGACCGGAAGAAAATCACCCTAGCAATTCTAAAGGTATAGCTATAGAAAACCAGTATACTGGAAATGTACACGCACATAAGAGTTCAGCGCGGTTGACAACTGCTAAAGAAAGCAATCTTTCCATTCAGAAGAAAGCATGTTATGTTTTCTACACCCAGTTATACACAAGACACCAATGTAGGTTGGAACATTGAAGGTCGACGCTGCATTTAATTCAAGCATTCCTGGTGGTAAAAAGTTTCAAAAACTTGCATTTATATTCATCTTCATACAAAAAGACACTGCGCCTTGGGCCTTACCGGATTAGATTTCCATTTCTCAATCGAGTGATCCGAGATCTTAGCAACTTAAAGTGTTCCTGTCAGAATCGTATAATGCGTTGAAATGCCGTGATTCGACCCGCCGGTCATCGAGATTATGCAAATCTGTGCGCTCACAAATGCTTTTACATCAGCGTTAGCAAAAAGTTGGCAAAACTGCAAGTAGCCTACTCTTGTGTGCTAAATTCTACTCTAAAATTCACAAAGGAGTAACAAGCCTAAAGACAAGTTAATACTAATTGAAAATAGATCTTATGACGGCTCACATCTTTGTATTTTCTGGAATGTGTGTGTGTGTGGAAAAAGGGTGGGATCATTATGAAAGATAATTTCTCTATTTCATTGCTAACATTTGCAAGCAGTTTGCCATTGAACTTCAAAAACAGTTTAGGAAAATACAACATTGGAAATCACGACTGAACTCCTAAAAATTAAGCGTAATAATTTACATTTTAATAAAATTAGTACTTTCAAATCATTGTCTTTTTAGTTGGTAGTAGTTTGGAGTATTTGCGTGGAATCCATGGCAACCGACCGACTCAATTAAAAGTAAATGTACTTGTGCTAAAAACAGTATTTCCAATACTTTAAAACCATTTATTTTCACTGGCATGTAATTTCACTATTTTGAGCAATTATATTGAGTTTTAATTTCATAAACTTGGCACAGAAATAATAAATTAGCAAATTTCATTTATCAGAGAAAATAACAAAATTAAAAACCAATGAATAATTAACCTTTTCACCGCCACTTTCTGCCCAAATTTGTCTGCACTTTTTTCTAAAATTCTTTAATATTTCTGAGAATGAACCCTAATTTTACACTCAACAGAAGAAATTTTAGTAAATTTTAAGTTTTTACCCTAAAATCTGGCTATTTTGTGAATATGTGATGAAAAGTGGGGTTGGAGGTGAAATGGTTAATGTATTCACAGTATGATATTGACAAATTCATATGCTTATTTGAAGTTTTTAAAAACCATTTAGACATGTTATATTTAGTTAAATAATAATAATACTGTATTTCAGGATACTGTTAGTGTAAAAATAATCCCATATAATCTACATAAAAGAACAAATAAAAAACAAGCAGCCTCTCGGCTGAGATAGCTCCGCTGATAGCAATGCACATTTCAATTAAAAAACAGAAGATATCATTAGAAAATGAACAATATGTATAGTATCAATGCAATGGGACTTGCTGTTTTCAACAAGAATTCAAAAATATAATTTGTCACCATAAATGATTGTGGTTTTTAACAAGAAGTCGAAAATATCACTTTTTACCAAAAATGACAAAAATATTCACCAAAATTAGAAAATTGAAGATATGATCATGAAATGAATAAATCTGAGAGAGGTCCACATATAGTACCTATATATGTAATATCAAAGCAATTGGACTTTCGGTTTTTAACAAGAAGTCGAAAATATCACTTTTTACCAAAAATGACAAAAATATTCACCAAAATTAGAGAATTGAAGATATGATCATGAAATGAACAAATCTGAGAGAGGTCTACCCAAGGTACATATACACCAAGTATCAAAACATTCAGGCTTGTAGTTTTCAAGAAGAAGTCGAAAAAGTAAAACATTGACACGGACGACGGACAATCACTCATATGATAAGCTCCGCTCGACAAAGTCGACAGCGGAGCTAAAAAAACAGGACAATAATAATATAACAAGTTCCAATACAATAAATATTTCTTTGACATCAATCAATCTCACAAAAGTAACGCAACACTGAATACCAGTAGCTTAACATGTTATTTATCTGCTATTCACTAAATCTTACTCGTGAACAATTTTCAGATGATTCAGAGTCACTCAAATGTGAGGAAGTCCACACATAAGATGGTGCAGTCATAATGTGAGGAAGTCCATACATAAGATGGTGCAGTCATAATGTGAGGAAGTCCACACATAAGATGGTGTAGA